GGCAACGAGTGCGAGTCATCCGGGGGGGGATCGACTTACTGTGGCTTTTATGGACATTGTGGCCGTGCGATGTGGGGCGGCGCCGTGCGATGTGGGGCGGCGACGACGACGATAATGATGATGATGGTGCGATGCGCAGAGGCTGCGACGGTGAACCTTAAGATCGACCTCTCGGCGACCGAGGAGGAGAAGGCGGCTGCGCTGTCTGCTGGCCTCGCGGCGCATGTTGCCGAGAGCGGCGACGTGGTCAAGTCTGTGGTGTGCGTGGCCGGCGGGTGGTGCGGCGGCGCCATCAAGTCGTCCGAGGTCTTCAAGCAGACCGACATGATGTGGTCGCGGAACGTGTCGTCGGCGATCATGGCGGGCCACATTGCGGCAAACCACCTTGCTGAGGACGGCTCGCTGGTTCTCACCGGTGCGCAGGCCGGGCTCAGCGCGACCCCGGGCATGATCGGGTACGGCGTGGCCAAGGCTGCCACGATCCAGCTTGTGTCGTCGCTTGCTGCCGAGGGCTCGGGCCTCCCGGCCAACACCTTTGTTGGCTGCATCATGCCGCAGACGCTGGACACGGCGACGAACCGCAAGGCGATGCCCGACGCTGACTTTTCGCAGTGGACCCCGCTCGCCACCGTTGCCGACCTGCTCGTCAACTGGGCCAACGGCAACGACCGCCCGGCCTCGGGCTCGCTCACCAACGTCTAAGCTTGCGCGTAGGCACACCACTTGGGCTGCACGCATAAACGGTTGTTCATTGTTGCCAGGCCAGACAGGAGGCCGGGCGGCTGGTGGGGACAAGCAGCAGATCAGTTGCTGCTGTTGTTGCTGTTGTTCCCGCTGCCGTCGCCGATAAAGATGACATCGTCTGGCAGCGAAGTGACCTTTGAGCCGACCGACTCGAGCAGAGCCTTGACCTTGTCGTTCGAGTCCGCCTGTGAGAGCAGCGAGGTGACGTGATCGGGGATGTGAGCGGTTGCGGCCTCGAGCTCTGCCTCCTCCTTCTTGTACGCCTCGATGTCGTCAGCAAACGGGTGGACATCGTCCGGAAAGACAAAGAGCGAGCGGTTGAACCTCTTCCGGTCCTTTGTCTTGGGCAACATGCCAAGGACAGCCTTGCGGACGACATCATCGGGCGCCGCGTCAAAGACGGTCCTCATGGTAGCCTTCTTGAGACCGCCAGCATACTGCGTATGCCACACATACTCCTTGGAGTCAAGCTTCTTGTCCGAGAGTGCAAGATGCCGGGCATTGAGCACAAGCACATAATCACCAGGCGTCTGAGAAGCATGATACGTAGGCTTGTCCTTGCCACTCAGCAGACGGGCCACCTTGACCGCCATCCGTCCAAGCGACTCGCCCGAGGCATCCACAACATGCCACCGCTTAGGCGCACGCGCAGCAAGCTGAGCAACACGAAGTGCCATTCCCCTTGTGCTACTCTTGGTACACTGGGTTCCACAGTGCGGTGTTCCGTCTTCTCGCTCGCGGTTGCAAAGAGAGGGTGCCGGCGGGGTGGGGACGAGGGGCCGGACGGTGGGCGACTGCCGGCGGGTGGCGGGCGGTGGGCGACTGCCGGCGGCGGCGGCCGGCGGCGGCGGCCGGGCGGGCGGCGGGCGTCGGTGGGGCGGCGGGCCGGCGGGCGGCTGGCGGGCTGTTGGGTCGTCGATGGTCGATGGGGGAAGTGAAACAGCGGTGATCGGAGGAATCAGGGGACGGGGGAGGAATCAGGCGCGGGGGGGGAAGAATCAGGCGCGGGGGGGGGGGGGGGGGGGTCGGGCTTATCGCTCGCTGTCACCCGATCACTCACTGTGACTCGGCAAACGTTGGCGGAGCTGTCGGGTTGGTCGGCGACAGGTCGGCGACAGGTCGGCGACAGGTTGGGGGGTTGGAGGGAAACACTTAACCTGCTGTAGCGAGGGCGCTATGGGTAACAGAAACTCAAATGAGGGTACGCATACATAGTCGAATGTACTCTATCTGTTTGTGTCATTTTGATACCTCTTCCCCTCTTCTTCCGTCCGCTACGTGAGCTGCCGTGTACGGCAGCTCGGAGCAGGGCGTTGTTCTGCTGAACAGGCGAGGGAGGGGAAGGGAGGGGATGGGGATCGCCATGGAGCGAACCACACTTGACCACACTCAACCACACTCATATCTCGGTAATCTTCATAATCCTTGTTAATGATCCTTCATGCCATGGCCGCTCTCCTCGACATACCGCTTCATCCCGCCGTCATGGATCGATGTTGGTTGGGTCGTCCGCACGATGTGCGCACGTGCTCTGCCGCCGGGGAGTCGAACAGCGAACCAGTTCCTCATCAATGTCCGTGGGAGAGTGACCGAGGACACCAAGGCGCAGATCGTGACGGCTGTTGGTGTTGATCTCGGACCTTACATGCGGCTGCCAGACTATCCGACCGCCTTTCTTGTCTGGGCGTCCAAGGATCAGGCCGAAGCTGCCAAGCATCTCGCCTGTGTCTCAAAAGTCGGCGTGTATGAGGGCAAATACAAGGCCGGCAACCTACGGATCGAAGACGTCGCCGATGACGAGCCCATTGACCTCGTTGTCAAGATCGATCACGCCCACACCACCGAGCAGGTCCTCGCAGAGTGGGAGGACGAGGGCGCAGAGCATCATGCCTCGTCGGTTGCTGCCTGCGGCGACGACAAGATCGCCATCACTGTGCCCGGTCGCTACGTCGCAGACTTTGTCACCTGGCTTCGCTCGGAGCCGCACTGCCACTACATCGAGCGCAAGGCCCGCTACCGGCTCTAGACTCTCTGTCGCTTAAAAGTCGCAGTCCTTTACCGCGCCGAGCTGCTACAGCAGCGAGAACGGGTTCGCCGCTCCGCTACCGCTTCCGCCGCTTCCGCCACCGCCAGCCGGGCTCTCCGCAAACGGGTTCGCCAGCCCGTTCCAGATCGACGGCTCGATGACGTTGCTCACCACCGGGCCATCGACGCCTGATCCCGCTGTCGGGGCCAGCGGCGCGTGCAGCGGCGCCTGCAAGTCCGCCGCAAAGTTGGTGCTCACAGCTGGTGTCCCTCTGGTCTCAAACATGCCGGCAAACGGATCAGATGCCATGGGTGGTGGTGCTGCCGCCGCGCTGCTGTCGCCGCCCCCGCCGCTAAACGGGTTGCCTCCCGCCGCAAACGGATTGTCGTCGCCGCCGCTTCCGGCCATCCCGTCCGCCGCGCCGCTGCTGCCACCTCCAACCATCTCGTGCATCTGTGCGTGCAGCGACGAGCTCTCGCGGAGCTCATCGCGCCGCGCGCTGCGGACCGAGCCCAGCACACCCTCGAGTCGGGCCATCGCTGCGTCGAACGAGCTCAGCGTGTGCGCCTCGGCCATCGCAAGCTTAAGCAGCTGGGGCACCACAAGAGTGCCGACCGCCTGCGGCGGAAGGCTCTTTCCCACCTCGAGGTAGACGCGCTCGATGGCGGCAACCAGCGGGGCATCGCTGAGCGCGCCGCCGCACACCTCCTCCAGCAGCGGGATGAGCGTCGAGCTCACCACCCCGGCGTCAAGAAGCGGGGCCAGCTGCGCAAGCGCGCCGAGCGCTGGGGCGCGCAGCACGGCATGCGGGCCGTTGATGAGGTTGGCGACCCGCGGCACAACGCCACGCGTGAGCTCGGCGTAAGGAATAGTCGGCGCAACCAGCGCAAGGTCGCTCAGCGCAGCACCGATGACCTCGGCCCCGCCACGACCGCCGTCAAGACAGGCGAGGAGAAACGGAACCAGCTCGTTCGTCACAAACTCGTCCGGTACCAGATCGAGCCACATCGAGAGCTGCTGTAGGAGCACGAGCGGAACCGCAGGCGGAGTCGCCAGCGGTAACGCGTGCTTGGAGAGGCCCGGCAGGACGGTGGCGTACACAAGCGTCTTGGAGATCTTGGGTGCAAGGACGGCCAGGTTTGGAAGGAGGAATGGAACCATGAGCGGCTCGCGGAGCTCACGGACTAGAACCGGACACACTCGCAGCTCCAGAATCCGGATCGGCAGCGTGTTGATCATGCCGGCCAGGCCCTTGAAAACGAGGCCTTGGACGAGTTGCTCTTCTCCAGAATGTGATCGACGTAGCGGACTGCCTTGACGGCTGTGCTGGTAAAGGCCGGGCTCGCCACAAAGGCAACCAGTGAGGCCCGAGCCGCTACCTGCGGCGCAAGCATCTGGGTCCACACGCTCCGAATCTCGGCCGGCAGCGCCTGCGCCAGCGATGGCAAGCTGCCCGGCAGGTTCCGGAGCCACTGGCCGTACGTCAGCGTACTGGCCCCATGCTGCGCAAACCGCGCCCCACCCGACGTGCTGCGGTCGGTAGCGAGAACCTCATACGCCAGCGCCGCCAGCGCAAACACGTCCGACGCCGGCCCGCCGGTCCCGTACTCGCTGCCAAGCACGACTTCGGGTGCAGCGTAGTCGAGATCCGGCATGAGCCACGGCTCGTCCGGCCGCCCGCCGTCCCACGCCGTCGACGGACCGGCTGATCCGCTGCTTGCCGCAGACTTGCGCTTAAAGCCAAAGAACGACGACGACGACGACGATGCTGGAGGCGCAGCTGCCGTCACCGAGCCGTAGCCGACATGCTGCGAGAAAGAAAAGCCAAACAGCCGCCACACACCATCGGCGCAGAGGTACACGTTGTACGGTGAGAGATTGCCGTGGACAAGCTTGCCCTGGGTGTGAAGAAACGAGAGCGCGTCCGAGAGGTTGGCCAGGCCGAGGATGGCTTCGAGCGGCTCCAGGTCCATCTTGACCAGATGACCAGGGATGCCGTCGAGGCCCTCAAAGCGATGCAAGCAATTCGCAAGAGAGGCAAAGATAGGAACCGAGGTAAAGGCCAGGTACTGCCTCGTCTCATCAAGAACGCGGAGGACAGGCAAGATGGCCGGATGGCAGAGGAGCGAGGCCTTTGTGATCGAGGTCCTCAACAGATCCACAACACGAGAAGTAGCCGACTTGGAGTGCGATTCAGCAAAGGCCTTCTTATCAAAGACAAACAGCGAGACTGCGCCTCGTCCGAGTATGCGACCATCCGGGCCAAGAGCAACCAAAGTCGAACCAGCATGTGCGCCACCACTACCGCCACTTGGGCCACCGCCCGCATCACCCTTTGGCACGGCAGAGAAGATCTTCCAAAGTCCGAATGGCCCTCCAGACCCGACCTGTGGCCCCACATCATAGTCCTTGGCAATGCCGTTGCCCATGTCTCTCCTCGCCACCCAACTGCTGGAGACGTCTGTCCGCCTCTCCGTCTCCGCTGCTGACTGGCGCATCACCACCACCGCACCATTTGCTTCGGTTTCGCTGACACCATCAGTACAAAGACATCGTCACCGGCATGGAAAGTATGAGGGATGGGGATGGGTGGGGAACCCCAGGGCAGAGTTTACGTCGACCGCGAGGTGGAGACGAAATAGACAAAGCCGGCACCGCCGACAACGGAGGCGACGTAGTTGCCGGTCGGGGTGAGCGAGGCGAACAGGTAGTAGGCGAAGAAGAGGAAGACGGCGTAGAAGAACGCGTTGTTGTACAGGATGGCGTACGACAGCGCCTCCGACGACGAGTTGGAGCGGAGCTCGTGCTCGAGCTGAGCACGGATCTCGGGCGTGAGCTTGCCGACGCTCTTGATCCGGGCGTTGGTGATCGTCGAGCCGCGCTTGGAGATGAGGCTGTGATGGAGAAGCAGATTAGGCCAGAGGTGAGTGACGCGAAGGGAGGGGAGGCATGGGAGACTTGGCGCCATCTGCTGCCAGATGGCGCCATGCTGCTGGTACGCCTGTCGGTGCCAAAGAAAGGCCGCGCACAGCCGCGATCGTCCCACACGCAAGTGCGGGTCGAGCGAGCGCACGGCAGATCGAGGAGACCGAGCAAGACAAAGTCGAGTTGAGAAGACAGATGATGGAGGGGAGAGGGAAAGGGGGAAGGAGGAGGGATATATGGCGTACTCACCAAAGATCTTCGTGGCCGAGTTACCCATGGCCATGGAGAGGATGACAGCAGCGACGAGGGTGACGACACCAAAGACAGGGGCGTACTGCTCGACATCCATGTCAAACACAGTATGATAGAGGTCTGTAGCAGGAGAGAGGGGAGAGAGGGGCGGTGATGGCGGGGAGATGGCGGGGAGGAGGTGAGGCGCAAGCCCAACAACCGATGCCACACACACACACACACAGAGAAAGAGAGAGAGAGACGCCGACATACACGCCGACACAGACACAGACGCCGACACAGACAGACGTAGCCAGACACAAGCACATAGCATCCACATTGTGAGTTCATATCTCCACCACCACATGCACACACTCTCTTCATCCACATATGCATATCATCAAAAAAATAAAGGTATCATCACTCCCCTCCTTGTCCCTCGCTAGCCACCTTGTGCGAGACTGGTCGCATGGGGAGGGTGGTGGTGGCTGGTGGCTGGTCGTCGTCGGTCGGTGTCGGTCGGCCCGTCGGTCGGTCGGTCGATCCCCAGGCATGTTCGCATGCAACTGGCAGTGTCTCTAGAGGGCATATAAGAAGAAGGAGAGACAAAGAAGAGCAAGCATACATGGTAATCAAGGCTACTACCATGTAGACTTGGTGCTACCTAGTCAGAGCAAGTACTACCATGCGTGGTAGAGGTGGCGCAAGGCAGAGGTAAAAGTGGTCATATTTTTGCTGAAACGGCTCGGCCCCACAAAGGGAGTGGCAATGGTGCCAGATCTCGTTCGACTTGATTGATACTTTTGGTTGGAGGGGCCAAGGCGCGGGGAGGAGGGGAGGGGGCGGGGGGGGGGGGGGGGCGGTGGCAGGTGGTTGACTCACATGGGTATGGAGAAGAAGAGAAGGAAAGTTATGTTTGGAGGAGATAGTGTACGTACAGACAGGAAGGGCACAGGCAAAGGCAGAGTTCAGGACAAACACAACACGCTGGAAGGTAGACACATCCTTCGAAGATCCGATCGAGCTCATGCTTTGGTGGTCAACAGTCGAGTGTGTCCGTCCTACTTTGCCCGTCCCCCGAACCGCCCACCGCCGACTGGCGACCTCCGCCGACTGGCGACCACCGATTGACGGCCTCCACTCCAACTCACACCGCCCACCGCCGACCGCTACCCGCCAACTACCACTCCCGGTAACTGCTGGCTCGAGACAGTTATGAAAGAGCGTCATCGCATATGATAGGTTGTCTGATGTGGCGTCTTTGCCTGGTTCTTCATTGAAGCCATCGCCATCGCCATCACCATCGCCATCAATTGCTCCTGCAACGGGGAGACGGAGATGGAAGAGGCAACGTTGTCGACGATGGAGCATATCGCGCATTGAACACAGGGGTGAGACAGGATAGTGATGGATGGGATCACGAGTTTGAGTACAAAAGACCTTCCAGCCGATGAGAGGGCGAGTCGGGATCAGGCGAGTCGGGGGCGGGCGAGACGGGCCGAGCTGGGCAGCGAGACGAACCGTGGCGGCAGGCACCTGCCTGCCTGGGCACCACCCAACGAGCACACGTGACGCATTTCGGGGCGGAAAAGGTGGCAAGGCGAAAAGCAAGAGTATATGTCGTCTGTGACTGGTGTCGAGGTGGACTTTATTCCGGTGCTTGGTCTGCTTGGTGGGCTTGAGTATGTGCACACCTTTTGCGGACGGTTGCACTCGGCTATCTCAGCCACTCTGGCGCAGAGGGAAGTGGTGCAGGATGCTCTGATCTTCCTCTCCTCGGCAGACATTCCCTACCGCTTCTCGCAAGCCACTCTCTGTCCGCCGTCTGGGCCGCCGCTTGTCACCGATCACAACACTGATAGCGACACCAACACCGATCACAGGCCCAACCACGACTCCGACTCTAACCCGCACCCCGATCCCAACTCATCCAACGCATCCAGCACATCCAACTTGTCCGCGCCTTTGGTCGCAATCCCACGCCCACCACCGGACACATCACTGCTGCACACCAAGGTGACGATCGCCAACGGAGAACTCCCCGAGGAGGAGCAGCTCGATGAGGGCGGGCTCGCCGAGCTGTACGGCGACTTGCATCTACGCAACTTCTTTGCCCTCGCCAGCATCGACATTCCTCCGCATGTGGTACTTGCCGAGGCGCAAAACCTTGAGTATGCGTTTCGCACAACTGTTGCCACTTCCAAGCCCGAGAGCGGCGGCACCCGGGTCGCCATCTCCACTGGCGCTGTCTTCTCGGCCTTCTTTGCTGGCCAGTGGCTGCAAGCCTTCTTTGCCGCCCTCATCGCGCTCGCCTCGGATCCAACCGTCTCCAACGACGACATCCTCACTGCGCTCCGCCTCCAGTTCCCCACCCTCACCATGGTGCTCACCAGGGTCATCGACGTGCCGAACATGACGTTCTTTGACGACAAGGTCGAGATCCGCGGCCCATCCGCTGTTGTCCTTCCAGGCTCGCAGAATCCTGTCCCGGTCCGGAAGATCCGCATCACTGCCCCGTTTGACCACAAGGCCATGCGCAAGTTCTATCCGCAGCTCTCGCGGCTGCTCAAGTGGCTCGTCTCGCTCCGGGTGCGCGTGGTCGACAAGGCCGCCCCGAGCCAGCTAGCCTCGGTCTATGCCTTTGACTCGGCCAAGCAGGTATTCTCGTTTGAGGGCTATGTCGCCGGCGATCAGCTGCTATGGATAGAGACTGCCGGCGGGCCCGCTGTGGCGCCCGCCGATCCCGAGCCCCGTCTCGCCGCCTCGGGCACCGTCATTGCCAACGCCCGGTGCTTCGACCTTGCCTTTCCGCCACACCAGGAGCTCGCTCTGTTCATGGACATGCAGATGACTGTCTGGGGCTTCAACGTCCTCCAGCTTCCCGTCGTTGGTATGGAGCTTCTCACCTCGCCTGACAACCCCAGCTGCGCCGAGCTCACCGTCGTCTCGGTTACCAACCCGACGTCGACGCTCAAGCTCTTCTCATGGCTCCTCTCACTCTCGGAGCTCTACGATGAGCTCATCCGCACCTTTTCCCTCCGCGTCTTTATCGGCAATCGGACGCTGCCGCCCAATATCACCGCCGTCACCAAGGCTTCCGACACCGCCAACGCCGCCGACGCCGCCAACGCCGCCGATGCGGCTTCGTCAGCGGCAACCGACGGGTGGATCGGCTTTGCCGGGCCGAACCAATTCGCCTTTCTCCTCACCGTCGCCTTCCCGCTCAAGCTCGTCACTCGGGTGCTCTCGCACATTTGGGACAAGTTTGTCAAAAAGTACACGTGGGTCGACATCCTCGCCTTTGCGAGCGACACGCTCAACGCATTTGTTTCGGACCTCGGCGTGGTCATGGCCCTGTAGGCAGCGGCGGTGCGAGGCATTGCATGTGTGTTTGTTGCTTGCGCTGGCGCCATCAGAACCGTACTCTGCGGACCTCGCCGCGCTCCGGATCGCCGACGCCGCCCGAGGCGAACTCGTCGAGCGGCAGCGTCGAGGCCAGCAGCTCGACGCCGACGTCGTCCGAGTTGATGGGCGAGCGGACGGCCGACGGTGCATTCTCGTCACGCTCGAGTTCGGCGTGCATGTCATCGGAGCAGAGGTCCGACGACGACGAGTGCCCACCAAGCGGGGCGCTGATGGCAGCGGCCGCGGTGCCGCCGCCACCGTCGCCGCCGCTCGAGCCGTGCATCCGTGTCGCTTCGACCGCCCGCCGGTACTGCTCGCGGGTGATCTGCCAAATCTGGACGGTGTTGGTCGAGGGATAGGCGGTAAAGTTGGGGTCGAACATGCCCGCACGCAGCAGCGCACTGTCAGCGTCGTCCTCGTCCGAGCCCTCGGGGTCGTCGGCGGTGAGGAGCTCGATGCCGAGGACCGAGTAGGGGCCAGCAAAGGAGAGGAAGCCCTCGGCGCCGGCGTGGACCTCGAGCTTGCCCTGCAGTACGAGGGTGAAGCGCGTCGACGGCTCGCCGCGGAGGTAGACCGCCTTGCGGTCGGCGACGGTGGAGCCCTCGGTCGGCCCGTCGATGGTCGAGACGGTGCCCTGCGAGCAGAGCTTGCGGAGGATCGACGGCTCGATGTGGTCGGCGCCAAACGGCTCGACCATGGAGAGCAGGTACGCGTACAGGCCATCGAGCTGCTGCGGGGTTAGGTGCTGGGTCGCCGCCCGCTTGCGGCGGAGCATGGCAGCAAAGTTGGGCCGCTGCGAGTCCTGGACCGGGAGCAGACCCATGTTGTCGACGTAGACATCAGTCTCGTCGACAATCTCGTCCATGATCAGCTCCTCGATGACGTCCTCGAGCGTGACAATGCCGACCGTCTCGTAGAACGGGTCGCCAGGGCCGTCGTTGTTGACTCGCTGGACGAGTGCCAAGTTCGAGTGCCCGGCGCGCTTGAACTGATTGAGCGCCTTGTCAAGCGTGGTGTCGTCAAACATGCGCTGGACAGGCTTGCCATAGAACTGCAGAATGGTCCGGATCGGGGTCCGGTCCTCGGGCGAGAGCAGCGCGAGGTGCTTGACCACCAGAAGGTAGTCGATGTTGCGGTCCGGCCCATCATGGACCGGGATCCGCGAGTAGCCCGACTCCATGATGGCCTCGAGCGTCTCGTAGTCGAACAGGGCGTCGGCCGAGATGGAGAACGCCTTGGCGATCGGGGTCATGACGTGCCGGATCGACTTGCGCGAAAAGTCGAGGACGCCCGAGAGCAGCTTGTGGTCTGCCGATGTGAGGTCTGAGTCGCGCTCGCGTGCATGGATCAGCATCAGCTGCTTCAGCTGCGTCTTGGTGTAGATGGTGCCCACCTCGTGGCCGAGCACACGGTCCAAAACCTTGGAGATCGGCCAGGCCAGCGGCGCCATGAGGAACATGAACACCTTGACGATCCACACCGTGTACGCGCCCACCATCAGTCCGTGTCGCGAGCACCCGGCCTGCGGCATGATCTCGCCAAAGATCACAATAAGCACCGTCGACAGGAGGAAGCCCACCACGCCCGACGTCAGGTCAGCGAGCAGAATCGAGAGCAGCGCGTTGACAGCCACGTTGCCCAGCAGCAGCGTACACAACAAAAAGTTGCCCTTGACCCGGACAGGGTAGATCTTCTGCGCATACCGCTTCTCCTCGGGCGTCCCGGACGCCATCACAACTTCCAGCCCGACCTTGTCGAGGCCCATCAGTCCGAGCGTCAGCCCCGAAAACAGCCCCGAGAGTACAATCAGAAACAGGATCGGCAGCAGCGAGATGTAGATGGGCAGTCCACCAGACTCTGTCATGTCCCGATCACCGACCACGATGCCGACCACGATGCCGACCACGATGCCGACCACGATGCCGACCACGATGCCGACCACGATGCCGACCACGACCACGACCATGATGCCGACCACAACAGCCATAAGTATGAAAAGTCCAGCAATGCCCAATCCCAAGCCCGCCATTCACACCACGACCCGAACCAGCACACCACCATGAGTCACAAGGAGGGGGGAGAGGGGGGAGAGGGGGGAGAGGGGGGGGGGGGGGGAGAAAGAGGAGGAGGGGGAAGAGGAGAAAGGGGGGAGTAGTAGAGGGGGTAGGTGGGCGGGGGGGGGGGAGGAAGATACGGTACGTACCGTCGGCAGCCGTCGGCAGGACACAGGTCGTGGCATTGATCACGGTCGCCATGCGCCCACCTCGAGGCGTGACGGGGGGGAAGGGGGGTTGAGAGGAGGGAGGAGGGGGAAACGACTAGGTGTGCTACTCTCAAGAGCTTCCACACACACAAAGACAAGAGACTGGTACTCTCCCGTGTCAAGTATGCCCCCCAGTCGTTGTCCCTCCTTCTGTCCCTGGTCGACTCCATTGGCTGTCTCGCTCGCCTGCCGTGATGGCCTTGCACCGGTTCCCAACCAATCGACGGGGCAGGCCATCCACCTGGATGATCGAACTGGCCGGCCATCCGCCTGGCTGATGCTGATGATCTCGAAGGTGGCCTGGAGAAAGAGGATGAAGTGAGTGTCCTCCTGCCACATTGATAATTTACCTATCAAGCGAGGAGATCTGCTTGATTAGCTTGCCTGCACCCATCTCATGGGGATTCCCATGTCCAGACCTTGCCAAACTGGCACACTTCTGCCCCGCCCGGAGAGATACGCTGCTCTTTCCCAGACTTTGATCCCTACTACCTTTGTATCCTCAGACTGCAGAGGTGCGCTTGATGGTGTGGCGGTGCTAAACAGCATGTCCATCGCATCACCTGTGTCCAATGTCAACCACCACCACCACCATCGCTATCATCATCCACCGCCATGCCGACCAAGATCGCCATCCCCAACGTGTAAATCAATTAATGATGTAGGCTAGAGGCTCCGCGCACCAGCCGAACATCTACTTTGGCCTGGCTCAGTTTGCGGCCCGTGCTCTTGGGCTTGGCTCCGTGGTATCACGTGGCGTGGACTTGAGTTGGGGCGGATGGTCGCCGTCGGCGTGGTCGAGGCCGACGGAGGAACTGGCTCCATGGTCCTCACAACGTCATGATGATCTCTGTCATGCTCTTGGCGGTTACCGGGCATAACGAGATCAGGCGCCTCGCGGCTCCTGGCCTACTACGTCCCGAGGTGGATTGGGGAAGGGCTGGTGCGCCAAAATGGTGCGCGAAAAAGCCGCGCCGGCCTCGCCGACCTCCACGCACGACGTCAGCCAACGCCTCGACGAGGCGCTCGGCAGTCACGTCCTCGTCGGCAGACGCCACCCTCACCCTCCCTACCACAGCGGCCCAAGCGGGGCTCCATTCTTCCCCCCCTTCGCCTCGAACAGCTCCATCACGCTCGCCGCCTACTACCGATCGTGCTTGACCTTGATCTCTGCTCCAGCCCGTTGATCAGGGCGTGCGTTGGGGGGGAGGGGGGCATTGATACACGCACACACATGGAAACAAACACACACACATACACACATTGCCACCAGAACTATTATGATCCCAAGTGTGCACACCCTCTGTCCCATTAGCCCCGGCCGGGCCCTACCCAGATCGTGCGATCCACGGACTCGCGCTCTCAACCACGTCGACCCACCCTCATCCTGCCCAACCCCAAGTACGTACACACACACACACCTCTGCTCCATCATCGCATGCCGACCCTTCCTGGCTCCAAGCTTCCTGTTGTGGCAGTTTGGGCCTTTGCAATGGCTGCAGTCAACGGAGGCATTGCCTACGCCATGTGGGGCGACCGCGGGGTGGCGCTGCGAGGCCGTATGCGCAAGATGATGGGCGTGCCTGATCCTCCGGGAACACGATCGCAGGGCCTGCCAACCACCTCATCGCCCTCTGCTCTCGCCAGCTCTGCCTCTACTCCGGCTGCTGAGTCCAGCTCGGATGGCGATGCTTCATGAGCAAGCGCTGCGTCTCCCCTCCTCCTTCTCGGCACAACCTGACTAAGCCTCACGATACAATGCTGCCATGCACCTCGCACCGCACCGCTACACGCTGGCCAAGCGCAATCATCATTTACTCGGCGGCAGCATCGTCAAAGTTGCCCTCAAGGTCGGGGATGTCGTCATCCGAGTCGTCAGCGCCGCGTTGCCGGTCATGCCGTTGAGCGCGCCAGACTCAAGGAGGTTCTTGAGGAAGTTGCTGGCGTTCGGGCCGAGCTGGTGAAGGACATCGGGCATGAGCTCGGTGATGGTCTTGACCTGCGAGGTGCCGCGGACAGTAAAGGTGTTAGCCTGGAACGAGGCCTCCACCTTCGGGCGGGAGAAGTGAAGAACCGAGTTGTCCTCACGGAACATGTTGACCTCATCAACACCGGGGAGCGCCTGCTTGTTGACCTTGGCCAGCGTCGCCGACAGCTTCTTGGCCGTCGAGCCCGACGACTTCTGCACCTTGCGCACCTTGCGGCGCATCGAGCCCTTGCCGCCAGTCCGCGAGACCTTGGACATGCGCTTAAGCTTCTCAAGCTTGGCCTGGTTAACCATGTCTACTCACATCACATCAACAATACCACACCAACGGTTCCACAGTGTGAGTCATACACATCGCCATCCCCATCCCCGTCCCCGCCCCCTCCCCCCTCCCCCCGACCCCGTCATGCTGGTCACAACTCGTTTCGAGTCATGCATACAAAAACAGAGGCTGTTCAGCGGCGCGCTTCCGCTCCCCAACAACAGCCCAGAGTGCAGCAATCAAGCCCATCTTTTCCAGACAGATGCATACAACATGGTACTTGAGCATGGCGTGGACGGTGGCTGAGGGTTCGTCTTCTCTTTGACTCCAGCCACGGGAACTCGATCGAGCCTCGCCCTGCCGGGGATGAATACATCGAAAACCAGAGGCTCACCGCCACCTCCCCGAGTCTCAAGAGCCTCGCATCGGAGCTACCATAGAGCTATACACACATATTTCCCCTAAACTTTGAGCTATACCACACTCGCAACTCTCTACCGAGAAGCCCGAGCGTAGCTGCGCTATCTGGTCCGTGGGTGGCCTCGATACTTCGCCCGACCACGCCGACTCCAAAAATGGCTTCATCCCCCCCATCGTCCAGCATGGTGACCTCTTCGGAGGCCACAGCCATGGCGGGGACGGGGGAGAAGGGCATGCGAGGTGCTCGTATCTTCTAGCTCACATATGCATGGCTGGTTCACGTAGTCGTGCAAGTAATCATGTTACGTACTGGATATATGGAGTGTGGTGGCCGTCGCTTCCGGCAGGAGGGCCCACTTCCCGCGCTCCGTTCCTCGCTCCGCCGGTTGCCGAGTCGCGGCCGAAACGGGCCGGCCAGCTCAGAGGGCTGGCCGGCAGCGGCCAACGCGCACTGCCGGCAACTACGACTCGGCCAGCGGAGCCGCTGCCTTGAACTCCTTCTCAAATAGATTGACGACGGTATCGTCGGCGGCCGCCGCAAGCTCACAAGCCATGTCGTCCAGCAGCTCCTCGACGAAATCGTCGGCTACGCCGGTAACTATGTCCCAAGGCGTCAGCGCAGACGCCGAGAACGCGGCACACTTCTCGGCGATACGCTCCAGGAACAGCTCGCGGTGGACTTCGATGTCAGCCACCGCGTGTGTAGAGAGCTGATAGGCTTGCTGCGCGCGGTGTGCAGCGCTGGCGCGAGCTTGCCGTGCGGGACTGGCTGCCGACGAGTCGGCCTCAAGCCCAAAGCGGCCGCCCGAGTCGATGCCCCACCGCGCTCGAATCGACGCCTCCTCGGCCTCCATCTGTCCCATAAGCCGAAGTGCCTTGTCAACACGTGCTGCCATCAGCTGTGCCTCAACCTGAGCATCTGGATCATGCTCCGGCATCGGCGACGAGTCCGGAACGGCGACGTGAGCCGGCGCAACATCATCTCGAGCCGGTGCCACAGCCGGAGCTGCCGGTTCGGACGCCTCCCTCCTCACTGCCGCCGCCACAGGCTTAGCACCCGAGTGCAGACAGCGGAGAACCTCTTCTGCGAGCTCGCGGGTGAGCAGAGCGCGGGCATTCCCTGAGCAGTCGTCGGCTGCGCTGACGGCGGGAGCCGATGGCAGAGCCGGAGCCGCAGCCAGCGGCTCAGCCACCGACCCGGCCGCCACGTCCTCACGCTGCGGCTCCGAGTCAAGTTCGAAGCTCTCTGACGGCAGCGTGCGGCGAACCCTGACTCGGGTCCGCTGACGGGTGCGGCGCAGATGGTGGCGAGGGTGGCCCCGGCCACGGCCGCGCCCGCCACGACCGCGCCCACGGCCGCGCCCACGGCCGCGTCCACGCGGGCGACCCCGAGCTCGCGGCGGGCGAAGCCGCGACGGGCGGGCGGAGCGGTGGACTGGCGAGTCGAGATCGCCCGGCCTGGTGTCGGGCTCTTGCCACGGAGGGCGTGTGTCGCGAACGGCGTCGCGGGTCGGCGATCGTGACTCCGCCAGCTGCTTGGCCTTGAGCCGGGCTTGCTCGGCCCGAAAGCGCTCCTGCTCCTCAGCGAGCTGGGCGCGCTCGGCCTCGAGCCGCTGGCGAGCATGCTCCAAGTGTTTGGCGTGTGCGCGCGCCCGGCGCGCATCTTCGCGGGCACGATCCTCGGCTTCGCGCGCAGCAAGTCGCGCCTTGTACTCTTCCATGGCTTTTCGCGACGAGAGCTGTGCCGCTTGGATGAACTCGACATCCTCGTGCGGGCCTGCGACGCCAAGCTTGGTCTTGACCACCGAGCTCGGCGGGCGGCGTGTGGCGGCGACCGCGGCGTTTGGCCCGGCAATCTGCGCCAGCGGCGTCCGTGCCGACTTTGTCTTGGACGGCAACGGGCGCGTTCGCCGTGCGCTAGCCGCCAACGTGTCGACCACGACTGCAGGTGACGAAGCGCCAACGTGTTGACGGTGACGTTGGTGCGAGGCGGGAGCCAGCGGCGCCGGCGGGTGGCGGGCACGGCCACGGCGAGTCGATGCCACCGCAGCCTTCATGTCGTTGCGGACAAGCGCCTGCGCAAAGGCCAGTCGATGCTTGTGCTTGACTAGATTGGCCATGTCGGCCTCGACCCCGGTCACATACTCGGTCCGGGCCACAGCTGCCGACGACGACGACTGGTGGCGGGTCGACGACCTGGCCGCCGCCACACCAGGCGCAGGCACCAGAGGCTCGTACACAATGGCAGGCGCAGGTGCACGGACAGGCTTCCCTGGGCCCTTGCTAGGACCTAGCCGGAATGCAAGCTGGGGACGTGTCCGCATGGCTCCACTCATGCCCTTCAAGTCGGGTGCTCCCTCCTCGCCAAAACCGCGCCCTTTTACTGAAAACGGCAAATGATCGCCGTCGCAATGAGAATCGCGGCTGTAGCTCTGCTTTGCACACCCACGGGGCAATACGGTGAGGCAGATGGAAAGACGCGCCAGGGCTAGCGGAAGGGAAAGAAGCGTGAGGCGAAGATGCGTAGCAGTTGCCATCGCGATCGCATGTACTTGTACGGAGGGAGCAGGAAGAGCGAGCAGGATGGCGGCTGGGCATGCCACCGTGCGTCGGGCAGCCGCGGACGGCGGCAGCGACAGCGGCAGCGACAGCGACAGCGACAGCGGGCAGGCAGGCGGCAAAGGTAGGAGTTAGACCTGACTCTTTGACCATGACAACGACAGCTACGTTGTCCGAGCTGAACAAGGTGCTGATGGGGCTTGAGAACGTGTCTACACGACTCGGTACGGAACGAAGGAGCGGCGGGAGTGCCGAGGGGAGGCGGCCCACGCCGTGTGAGGGTTGGCGGCTGGGGGTGTCGTCATGCTGGGCACAGGCACTCACACGTAGGCACAACCACGACGGGTGGTGTGTGGAAATGCGGTTTGCGCAGATGCAGTGGTGGAGGGGATGCAAGAGACAGAGCAGGTGCTGGCTACGGTTGTGGAGACACAAGAGGCTCTGTCAACAGTCGTGGGTGCTACCAGGGTGGCATGGGAGGGCATGCCGCCGCCGCCAACTCTGGCCTCATCGCGCACACAGGAGCTGTAGCGCGCAACATTGGGTGTCCACTCTTCTAGCGGCTCGCAGCAGCTCGCGTCCACTCATGCGGCAGCTGGTGGCATCTGCTACGACCATCAGCTACCGCCCGCACGAGCTGTGCCACCAACATCGACTGAATCGCTCACACAAGCTGGACTCGCCAGCTCTCGTCACGAGCTGGCCAAGAAGAAGAGGAACAGATGCGAATATGGGCGCAGTGACCGCGAGTATGTGCTCAGGGTGCGGGATTGCTGTTTGATGAGGGGAAGGAGAGAGGGAGGCCGTTGATGCAGTGGCGCCCCCCCGCGATAGGCGGGGGTCGCCTCAGGAGACAAAGTCGAGATGGGCGGTGCGAAGCCAGTCGAGACCCTCGTACAGGCCGTCTCCAGAGAGGCACGAGGTGGCCTGGATGTACCACGGGCGCGTCTCGGCGGCAAGGCCGAGGGCGGCGGCGATGTCGCTGACCGGCAGCGCGTACGGGAGATCCATCTTGTTGGCCATGATGAGGAGCGGGACGCCGGCGAGCTCGGGTGCGCCAAGCACGTTGTTGAGCTCGTCGCGGGCCTCGGAGAGGCGGTCGCGGTCGTTGGCATCGATGACGTAGATGAGGCCGCCGAGGTTCTTGTAGTAGTGGCGCCAGAGCGGGCGGATCTTGTCCTGACCTCCGACGTCCCAGCAGTTGAAGCGGACGCCCTTGAACTCGACCGTCTCGACGTTAAAGCCGATGGTTGGGATGGTCGACACGATCTCGCCGAGGCGGAGCTTGTACAGCATGGTCGACTTGCCAGCGGCATCTAGGCCGATCATGGTGATGCGTGCGTCGCGGACGCCCCACGACGTGTTGAACAGCTTGCCGATCTTGAGCTTGAACGAGCTGAACATGCGGGTGATCGAGTCAAACATTTTGCCTACGGAGTAAGAGTAGCTTGTTGGTTGTTGGTTGTGTGCCGGCTGGCAATGACGTGCGTGGCGGCGTCGAGGCGCCGGGTTTTGAGGAGATGGCTGAAAAAAAGGCAGCGGTCGGCGTCGTCGCTCGGCTGGTCTACACAACTGCGCCGAACACTGCTTCCTCAACAACCACATGGAAGCTCCGCCGCACCCGCGCAACCACAACACACAGCATCACACACAGAGGGTTCAAGTCAACGCACCGTTTAAAGGTTGATGACACGGGAGAGCTTCTGCACCCGGTTGAGGAGCAGGTCACCCTGCTTAATGGTCTGCTGGTAGAGCGAGTTCTTCGAGTCGGAGCGGGTGGTGTAGATGGTGCCCGAGACGGCGTCGATGGAGCAGTGGACCCGGCCCGACGCAACAAAGCGCGAGAGCTCACGGTCAATAAACTCAGCGGTGACCCCAAACTGAGCCGCCATCGACTCCATGGTGACCGAGCGGTACGAGCGCAGGATCTGGTTGTAGGCGCGAATGCGCATCTCGCGACAGTAGAAGCGGGCGTGCTCGTGCATGTAGCGGTCCTTGGCAAGCTCGTCGCCGAGTGCGGCGAGCGCAACAAAGAACTCGGCGTACTTGCACTCATAGAGCGCATGGAGAAGGTCGCCGGCGGCGCCGAGCTCCTTCGACACCGACAGCACGTCGGGCGACTGCATGAGCTTGTCCTGCAGATCGACGCGCGGGAGCTGGAGCGAGCCCATGATGACCGCGTACCGGATGTACGTCGCAAACGGCGCAAGCTCGTACGACGTAAACGTCGCCAGCGTGTCTATATGCAGAGAAATGCGCGAGGTGAGTGGGGGTAAAGAAGGCAGCAGCACACAAGTACAAAGCCCAGGGGGGCGGAACCAAACCAAGATCAGCGGTTTTGGTAAATAAGATAGTGTCCTCAGAAACGTCGACAAACGTAATCAGCAGCAGATCTGATTAGTCATCATCTCAAGGTTGGTCCGCAAAAAAAAGTGTTGGGAAACAAAGCAAGTTCGTACCAAGGAACAGCTGTGACGACTTGTCGAACGAACGAATCGACATGTTGTACACAGCCTGGTAGGCCATGAGCCTGTTGCGGCGCTCCCAGTCGCCGCCCTTCTCGGCGAGATCGGCAGCCTCGGGAAGCACACCCGCAAGCAGGACGTGGTCAAGGTAAAAGAGGCCTAGGCGGGCCTTGAGGAAGACAAGATCAAGCTTGAGGCCCGACCCGACCGTCTTCTCCATGGTGGCATCGATGGCCTCGAGCGAGGCCGTCCGGTCGCCCATGGCCACAAGGGCGAGTGCCTTGCGCTCCATGTGGGCCCGGACCTCGACCTCACCCTCGGACTTTTCAGCCTCGGCGATGTCGGCGTCGATAGCCTCGAGCTTGGCCGCATTGGCCTTGGTCAGCGTCGCCACCAGTTGGTCGTCCGCATCCCACCCGAGCCGCTCACACACATATGTGTAAAACGGCACCATGCCGTTCTTCTCCACCGCAGCCATGATTTTGGCCTTGGCCTCTTCATTGCCTGCATCCTGCTCGAGATCGAACAGAGCCTGCGGCAGCTGTACAATACTCGCCAGTTCGGTGTGGGTGAGTCAGAGAGGGGAGAGGAAAGGGGGGGGGGGCTTGGCCAAGGCGACCGACCGACAAAGAAAAATTCTGAGCGACGCGCCATTTTCATCAATTGATGGACGAAGGCGACCCGCTGCGGGAGAGCGGGGGGGGAAGGGCGGAGGGTAAGGAGAAGGAACAGCACCAACACCTAGTGGTAGCGGAGATGGGGGGAGGGGGAGGGGGAAGGGGGAGGGGGGGTTGCGTACGGTCAGGTCCGGGATGTACATCTCCGGAAGCAGCTCGTCCATGGTTAAAAGGTCTCCTTCAAGCTCGCCGCAGCGATCGAGAAAATGGAGACGATTGTTGCTCAGTGAAACTCTGATTGAACTCGAGAAGGTCGCCGCAAGTCAGTCATCGGTTGGATCGACTCATTCCGTCGGCAAAGTCCAGCCGAGTTTGGCCGAGTTGACACCGAGTTGGACTGAGTCGTCAGCTGCTGGGCTGGTGATGGCTATCATAGCCGGAGAGGACGATTACGTCCAAAAACCCGCTAAAGTGCTTGAGAAGGGAAGACGGAGAGAAAGAAGGGATGGGGAGGGCATTGGGATGATGGAAACTGCTCGGAGCCGTCCCATCATCACCGCCCAAACACGGCGGCAACAGGCGCGACAGCGGGCACAGCGGGCAGGGCCAGGAGGAAGCCAGGACAGACGAGACCACTTGACCAAGTCTACCGCAGGTGGTGGAACCGGGCGAGGGAGAGAGGCAGGCGGATGAGTGGGCGGCGGAGCAAGAGCAGGTCCCGCTCCAATACGGCCACGACCACGGGCAAGGCAAGGCGGAGCAGGTCCAAGACAAAGGCCTCGACCTCGGGCTCGAGGAAGATGACCAAGGCCAGCTTTGCGCTCTTTGACCATTCGTCCGACTCGGATGAAGTGGCCAACGATGACGACTTTGCGTCGTCAGACGATGACGGCCGTGCACCAGGCGGCGATGCCGATGACGATGACGACAGGAAAGGCAACTCATCATCGTCGTACGACGACGACGATGACGATGACGGCTCGTTGGGATCAATCGACGACGACGACTCGGACTCGGAGTCCTCGTCAGCGGCCTCGTCGTCCACATCGTCCAGTACGGGGCAGAAAGGAAGAGGCGGTAGGCCGGCGAGGCTGGCGAGGTCAGGCAGGTCGGGACCCACCGAGTCGCTGGCGGCGGCGGCGGCGACAGCGGCGGCGGCGCGGCGCGGCGGATCGTGGGAAGCGACAATGGCGGCGAGAGCACAGCGCAAAGCGCGGCGGGCGCGGATTTTTGGCCGCGGTGCAGACGATGTGTACACACAGCGACGCATCGGGAGGGATGACTTTCGGATGCGTGGCGACGGCTCGGCCTCGGGCTCGATGAGTGACGACGAGAGCGGGAGCAACGACGAGATGGCGAGGGCGGTCGATTTGGAGAGCGAAATTCGAGGAATGAGCCGCCGCCAGCAGAGCCGGGCCCGGAACCAGGCTGCTGTGGGCTCCAAGCCCAAGTACAAGCCCGAGGTTGAGGCCAAGCTTGCCACCGCAAACGCCGCGTTTGGCGACGGGCGGTACGCCGATGCAGGCACGGCGCTGCAGCGAGCGATCCAGCTTGATCCCAAGTGCGTGACAGCATACACGTTGCTTGCGCTCGTCCGCGAGCATCTCGGCAAGCACGACCATGCTGCTCGTTTCTACATGCTTGCCGCCGACATCCAGAGCAACGACGCCAGCATGTGGCTGCTCGCGGCGTCCAAGATGCAGGATGTGGCTCAGGGCATGGAGCCCGGCCCAGTCCGCACCGCCTTTCTGGAGCAGGCTGTCAATGCCTTTGCCACCGCCGACGAGCTGGCCAGAAGCCACGAGCACCGGATGCACCGCGGCGCCATGCTCCACGAGATCGGAAACTCGCCGCGGCCGCCGACGTGCTGGCTGCCGAGTACGCTGACGTGGCGGCGTCCAGCGCCGACATCGCCAGCCACCTCACCGTCCTCTCGCTCCTTGTGCCGTCGCTGGAGCATGTCGGTGACTCGAGGCGGCTGGTGTCGGTGCTGGAGAAGTTTGCTGGCGTGCTGGCAAGCGCGGCAGCTCGCGGTGTAGCACCAGCCATGGCCTCGTCATACCTGACCAAGCTTGTGCTCCTCTACGTCCGCCAGAGCCGGTTTGCCGACGCGCGAGCCATTCTCCGCGACCATCTCGACACGCCGAGCCATATCGGTGGCCTCGAGTCACGTCCGCTCGAGCTGCGAGTTGTGGCTGGCATTGTGGCGCTGTTTGAGGGCGAGCGTGCAAGCGCCGAGCAGGAGTTTACCGCCCTGCTCGAGCGCGACGCCGCCGACTATGCCGACCTTTACCAACTTGTCGCCGATGCCTTCTTTGACCTCAAGATGTTCGCCGAGGCCGCGAAAGTGTACTCGAAGCTCGTCGACGTGGTCATGGACGAGAGCGAGGACCCGACGTCGCAGCACATCTTTACACGACACGCCGAGTCGCTGGCGCGGGTGGCGACTACCGTCAACGACGCCATCTCAGTCTACCATGGCCTCCATCAGCGCCAGCCAGACAATGTCAACGTAGCTGTCTCGCTCGTCGAATTGCTCCGCAACGCGGCGGCCAACGCCGCCGCTGCCGAGTCGGGCGAGTCGAGCGATGACGATGATGACGCCGCCGACGTTCTGCTTGCGCGCGCAACCGCAGTCATCGACAAGGTCCTCCGCACGCGGCGCGCAGCCCAGTTCCGGGCCAACCGGCTCGGCACCGGCATGAGCACCGGGACCGGCGCTGCAGCCGACGACGACCCGAGCACACTGCGCAAGTCGATGCTCCAGCACGTGCGGCTGTTGCTGCACAAGGCCGAGCTCGACCTCACTGCCGGGCGCCACCACGAGTACAACGGCATGCTGCGCCCGATCCTTGCGACGGCGCTCAAGCACGACCCACTGTTTGGATTTCCCAGCGAGGCTACCGGGCACGGCGGCGGAAGCACGGTCCGCGGCGGCGACGACTCGGTCTTTGCCACGCTGGAGACGTTTGCCAACTCGGAGCTGTTGGTCCGGCAGGGCCCGCCGCGGGTGGTAGCGCCGATTTCGGACATTTGCCCGCCGGTTCAGATCATGGAGCACGTGACCAACGTGGCCAAGCTTCTGTTCAACGAGTACCTCGCCTCACAAGAGGGCGCAGTGCTGAAGGAGGCCTTTGCCATGGTCTTGGTCCTCCTCGGAGCGGAATCGCGGCTGCGGACCAAGGCGCTGTCGACAGCGCGCGACGGGAGTCTGGCAAGCGGAGAGGCCAGCGGCGACGGCGAGGCCATCTTTGACAAGCTCATCGACCGGCTCCGGGTCTTGCTTATCACGCTCGGTGGCATGCTCGATGAGCACGCAGCGGTGGCGGCGCAGGCGCGGACGCTGGTGTCATCGCGGCCAACGGTGACGGGGCAAATTTGGGATCAGTACCTGGTGGCAGCGCTGCGGTCGGGTGAATTCTTCACCCTCTGCAGCGACCTGCGCATCCTGGCGCAGGTTGTCCCGGATCATGTGCCGCTCCACCTCGCGCACGCGCACACACTGATGGCGGCTGGCGATGTGGCCAAGGCGGCGTCAGCGTATCTCTCGACCCGTGCCGTGTGGGAGCACGGCGCAGACTCGGACCCAAAGGCCCAGACTGTGCTTGACCTCTGCACCGCTGCGTCAATGGTCCAGCTCGCCGTCCTGCCGGAGACGTCAGACCCGGCGACGGCGATGGTGATGGCGACCGCGTATCTGCGGTCGTACTACGAGCGAGAGCGGATGGCGCCGGACCCGATGGGCGCGCGCTTTGTCGAGGCTGCCTACAACATCGGCCGCGCTTTTCACCACGTTCAGCTGTACTCGCTCGCCCTGCCGGCGTACGAGGCTGCCCTTGAGCCTCTCACCATCCTTCTCGACTGGCTCGATAGCGTCGACACCGAGGCTGTCTGCGGCGATGTGGCCGCCATTCACGCCAACGCCTTCCGTGCACGGCTTTGGACTCTTCGGAGGAAGACCGGTCTCAACATCTGCGCTGTTCACGAGTCGCTCCACAACCCGGCCCTTGCCCGGGCCGTCTTTGCCCGCCACTGCCTCATCAGGCCAGGATCGTCCGTGCTCTAGCCCACCTCCCACCCACAAGAGCAACGTAACTGTCATTCCCTTAACTACACGAGTAGGCAAACGCATCTGACTGATTTGATTGTCATCCATCTGACCAACCAGTCGGCGGTGGCCTTCGTTTCGTCGGCCGATGGGGTCACGGCCCGTCAAGCCAGCCAAAGACCAAGCCAGCCGGGTAGCCACCGACACCAACAGCGGCACTCGTCGCGCTCACTCTGCCCACCATGGTACGCAACACAAGCCAGAGTAGCCTAACCTTCCCCGCACAATCTTTCCCATAGTGCTATGACATACGGCATAATAATGAGGGTACGAGACGGGA